TCAGTTCTAAGGAGATATCCACAAGATAAACATAAAACTTCCCTTTGTTTGTCATCCTCCTACCATCTATTTAGGCGAAGCCAGGGCACTAGCATGGTTCTTTCTAATTTGCTTTGGCAGCTAGGAGACACAGTGCTTTTGCAGACTTCCAGGAAGAGTAAATTCTGAAAGTCTCTTTATCTCCAAAAATTTCGTTTAGTTCACTGCCTCTAAATCTAGTACCATCTCTAGTATCAAAGGGAACTGTGGTCACAAGCAATAGTTTCCCATTAGCACCTGATAGTCAAAACTGAGGATGTGGCTGCAGACATTTGAATGCCTGGTTTGGGTCTTGTGATGACTGGGGGAAGGGAGATTTGTTCCCCTCAGGCAATAAGGATGCAAGCCACAGTGACAGGGTAGTAATCCCACTGCCTTTTGTGTTGTGATGTGCTGATAATCCTCCACAAGCAAGTTGGGAGGAAGTTCATTGTGAAAAAAATGCCTTGTCAGAGCAAAAACCTGGCTTTACAGGTACATTTCAACTAATATGTGTGTGTATACATATATATATATATATATAAGTAATGAACTTCGTATTATAGAACACATAGAAAAGCACAGGAGACATAAAGCCCACCTCAAGGAATTTATGATCCAAAAAGACAATAACTTAACAGTAGTTAAAATGCATAAAATACATAAGCATGACCAGAATTTGGCAGCATAAAGCAAAAGTGCTTAAGTTCTACTGTAGTTTTAATTTGGTGACTTTAGTATTTGTGAGTCGTTGTCCTATAACTTGTCACCCCTCTATCTCCCAGTGGAATTTTGGTGCATTCAGTTTAGGGATGTGTATCACTGTTAATAAGAAGAGTTCAGTCCTTTCTGTAGACTGCAGAAGCTCTGGTGGCCCACATGTATGGTCAGCCCAGGAAACCTGAGCTAAAGGTTGCCTGGGTGCTGGTACCAGCCTATGAGAGCCCAGGGTATTTATTTTCCCTGATGGCCTAATTAAAATTCTGTAGTCTATAGTCTATAGCCCATAGTCTATAGTCTATATTCATATTTCTATTAATATTAATATTTATATTTGTATTTTTAAATATTATATCTATATTTATATGCACAAAGTAGATTTTTGTGCTCCCTCCTTTTTACATGCTTTTCTGTACAGAGTAAGAGCTTGAATCTTGCACCTTGGAAGTGCAATTAAATAAGGACCTGTGTATTATGCTGTCTGCATTTGCTTATGTGAAGCACAGTAGGAAAATAATGCCAGCTAGTTCCATTTATAAACAAATGTATGCAGTCTTGGTGTTTTGGGGTTTCTATAACACGCTAAAGAGAAAAAGAATAAATTAAACTGACCTACCCTGCATATACAAAATGATGTCTTTTTCTGCCAACATTCATTTTTCCACAACTGGGACAATATAGAAAATAAAATACTGAGTAAGGACACAAATACACTGCTGAATCAGAATGAGCCTTTGCTGCCTGAGTGACAATCAGTTGACGTTCAATTATCATGTTAATTGAATTAAAGCAAAATGGAAATTACTTAATTCCATAACTATATGTTCCTGTCAAGTTACTTATTTAATGATTGTTGCTTGCTTAACAGAGGACAGGAAAATGACCTTATAGGAGATTTCTAAGATGCTTAAAAAAAAATTAAATATTCCCACTATACAGTATAGATAAGCAACAGAACAGAACCCTGCTTTATGCTATAGGAAAAATGTTAATTGCATTATTGGGTATGATGTGTTTTATAATTTGGCAGTGTCTTAAGCATGAAGCTCAAAAGACCTTCAGCTGTTTTCTAGAGCACACTTGAATGATGACACAAGCCTTTTTCCTTCCAAAAGTGCTGCAAGGATGCAAGTCTTATACTTACAACACTAAACTATTTAAGCCTGAGGGATAAAAAATTCTCACAGCTGCAGAAAAAAAATTTAGAAGAGTTTGAGAGGAGCAGCTGACTTGTTCATACCTGTTTGAGGTAGTGCTGCAAATGCTGAAGACACTCACCAGTTGCCTTGCCTTCATAAACCTTTAGTACAAGTCTAGTCCAAAGCCTGTGAATTGGTACCACTGCCAGAGCCACATTCATTTGCCTTCAGAGAAAAATATTGACAACAAGACCAGACCTTGTTGCTATTTATGTTACAAGTGTTTACTCCCCAGACAGGCAGAACCTACCCTAATTTTAAGTCTAGGCCATGACCAAAACCAGCGTGAGGATCATCAGCCTGCCTGTATGCTAACCTAAGCCATGGGCACCTTCAGAAGGGCATAAACAGTGAGAGCTCAGCCTGTTGTCCTCAGAGAACACACCAGTGCTTTTCCAGGAGCAAAGTGGGGTGAGCTGATCACCTTCCAGACAAGCCAGCCTGCAGGGGCCATTCTTACCCATGCAAAAATCAAAGCAGGCTGGGGTCATCTAAAAATTTTTCACACCTGTTTTGTTTGCTATGATGACCTCCTGTTAACTCATTAGATTTTATAGTGCCAAGGAAGACATGGTGTTCATGTGATTTTTATTCATTCACCAAAAGATTCAAGAGAAGAGGGCAAGGCAGTGTGTACACTGAAGATGGTGGATGCATAGGTGGGACATAATTAAATAACAATGATGTGATGATGTTTCTATGAAGAAGTGATGTTTTAGATAGAGATTTGCAGCGTTGTTGTTAGCTTCATATTATTGAGTTAACCTTGTGCAATATGACTATTTGTGGGAAAAGTCAAGTCCCAGAGGACTCTTTCAATTATGCTGTGACTGTAAGAGCACAGCAGGAGTGTCTGTTTTTTATATTTGTGTAATGCAAAATAAAACCCAATGTGGAAGCAGTAGATACACGATCTTTTGAAGAACATTATTCTGTGTAAAATTCTTTGTTCAGCTCTGTTTTTTAAGTTGGCTATCAGAGTGATGCAGAGGCATTGCAATATACAAAGCAGTATAACTTAGTCTTTGTTCTGTAGGTCAAGCTGAATTCATTCTAGCAGCTAGGAACAGACTGCTGACTAATTTCTTATTTGTTTTCAGAACAAATAGTAATTCTCCTAATAATCACAAACTATTACAATTTAAGAAGCAAATTGTTAGCTTTTTTTTTATTTGCAGAACCATAGGAGATCAACAAACTACATATTTATCTTAATCTGGAGAAATTACAAGGGTGCAAAGATACAGTTGCACAGCTAAAACCAATCTTTTTCTCTCTCTGTCTTTATATTTACAATTTTAGAAGTCTAAGACTTCTCTGTTTCCATTATGATCTTTTGCCTCCCTGGGAAGCAAAATCTTTAATCCTTTTAGGCAGCCTCTGAGTTTTGCCAGCCTGTATCTGAGGTTTGTTCTGTGTCTGAAAGCAAAGCATTAGTGAAACAAAAAATTGTTTCACGAGTACATTCTTTATAAAAACGGTGCTGTACTGGATCCTTCCAGCCTGACATTACCACTCTCCCTTTGTAGTCTGCAACTATTGTCCTCTGTGTGTACACTCTGTGCTGCCAGGTCCTCTCCATTACAGGACTGCTGGTTTTACTGAGGCATTGGAAGATCAAAAAAGAACACTTTAAAGTTTCATAAAGTTTATCTTTCTGGGGAGGAGATGCTCATATGTGCTTTTAGCTGTGGAATTCAGAAGAACACCCCAAAATTGTCCTCCTAAATGGCTTTGCCTGTCTTTTAGCTTTGAGTCAATAGCCCAGTTAACCAGGCAGTGAGGAATGGGAGGGGGAAGGTGAACAGCCTTTACTTTCCTCGTGGAGGCTTTCCACAAATGCCCAGGTGGTGCATTTGGCTGGAGAAGTGGACAACAGAGACACAAAGCTGCAGTTTCATTTTGTGCAATATTAGGAATCCCAAATGCCCATCCACATGTGGATTAACCTCTGGTATATGACTTAAAAATCATTAAATATTACAACAATAAAAAAATAAATTTTCTTTCCCTTTATTTTTCTCCCTCACTTTTAAACCTTTAGATGTTTTTCAAACTTTTCCTTTCAGCAAGAAAGATGAGGAGTCAGTCCTGCTTAGTTACATGAAGCCCAGATGCATGCATGACTCCTTAATCTACCCCTTCAGGAAAAAACCCAAAACTTGAAATAGGTAGAAACTCATGACAAAATTTGCAAACAGAAATGTTGAGTTGTTCTTAAATCTGTTACTGACATGGCTAACAGCAAGTCATTAGCTAGGCTCCATGGGTCAGAAGCTGGTTCTCCTCCTGAGAGCTTTCAGCCCTGAATATCTGCACATCCTTTTCTAACATCATGTTACTGTAGTGCTATGAGGTCCTGCCTAACCCTGCAGATAATCTTTGATCTTGAAATCTGGGCAAAATGGAAGTGATTCTCCAAGGTCTTTAATCTATTATGAGATTGTGCACATGCCACATTTAAAATAATTTGGTGAGTTGAGAGAAATGTACAGAAATAGATCCATGCTTCTGAGAAGTTAATTAGACCGATATGGGATCAAGACTGGAATAATGACTAACATTTATTATCCTTAGCAGCTCCATGGGCTTCTTTGACTGCCCCCAACAGTTCATCCAGGGAAGAGAGGAATTCTCCTGGCTAATCTGTGGTGCTGTCATCTCCTCCTTCATTTAGCTCAAATGTCTTTCTACAAATTCTCTCTTTCCCAGAGAGTTTTAAATGGTCTCACAAGTGGAAGCCAGTGGAGAGAGTCACACCTACCTTCCCCCATCCCCAAAGGTCCCATTTGAAAGTTCGCCCCACACTTCACTTTGAGCAATTAAACCTGAGGTGCTATGAGGGATATTGTTTTTCCAGTACTGCTGGTTAGTGAAATGCTGTTTCACAGTTGGAACAATATTTTCTTTAAAATATTTGATGTTTATTATTTCACTCTTTAAGCAATATGAGGAGGAAAGGCTGTTTACTTAGAAAGACATTATGAAAATGCATGAGACACATCGGTGATATATAAAAACAAAAGCAGATTCATTTACTAATGTGCCACTCTTTGTTTCTAGGTATACAAAAAGAAAACTGAAGCTGCCAAGAAGGAGTATCTGAAGCAGTTAGCTGCCTACAGAGCAAGCCTTGTATCCAAGGTAACACATAATATATATACATGCACACATATATATAGTGACATATTGCAAACCATTTTCAGCTGAGCACCGCAGTATTTAGTGCAAATAGCCTTGTTTATTATCATCTTAAACTTGTGTTTAAGTTGCAAATGCTCAGTAAGCGCAGTCATCTGTCCACTTAAAGACATACTTTCCCTCCTGGTCATCAAGACAGCACTTCAGTTTGGGAGTAACATGCAAGTTCAACAGGGGAGGAGGTAGTGGTAAACAGACGTCCACATAACAAACATGCCAGGCAGCCACTGTGCTACCTGTAAGGTATAAAAATATATCACGCACAAAATGCCTGAGTTTGGTTTTGTGGGGCTTTCTTAGTACTGTTTTTTACCTTGCAATCACAAAACAGAAGTAGTCAAGCTCAGATGTTATTGCAGATTTTCATCAGAAATGTGAATTTCCATTTTACGTCCAGCAAGCCATTGTAAGCAGAGCATAGGTCACCACTAAGACAATGGTGGAATGTTCTTTACTGGAGCACACCAAATATCCAGCCAGCAGCAATTTTCTAAATAGATTTATTCAAACATTCTCAGTGCCCATAATTTTGCAGTAGACTCTTTAGAATTTGTAATAGACTTTTAAATATGCAGAAGACTGTGAAATTACTGTACTGTGTCAATGTGATAAAAACATTGAGCAACTTCAGAATCATGCCAGTTAGAACCACTTGTTTTGGGTCTATCAAAACAAATTTAGATATATTTTGTTCTTACATAAATAAAATCAATTTTACAGGTAAAGAGCACAGTGTGAATGACTGGCATATAGGAATTGAGAAGAACTTTTTGGTTAGTTTCAAAATATTTTTGGGGCCCTGCACACAATACTACTCTGTATAGTATATTAAATTTTCAGGGAGTTTGCTATATGATTAGCCATGCAAGGACTTTGCATGCATGTTTCTCCATTATCTCTGTATTTGGTCAGTGTTTGTTCTGAATTTCAAAGTCTGAAATATGGTCATCACCTATTCATTTTCGGGGGTTGTGTCCTATAACTTTCCTTGTTTTAGCTGCCATTAAAAATACTCCCATATTTAGTTAAAGTAATTTACAGTGTACCTTTCATTTTTGTATTAGGACTGTTTGGTTCCAGAAATAATCATTGCCTTCAGAAAGAGTATCATGTAAACACAAGCAAATCTTTTTTAAATAGCTTGCTTATTGGCAAAAGATAGGTCCAAAAAGCTCAAAATGTTCCAAGTTTTAACTCAGCTTTTCACTTGAGAAGATAACTTGGCTATCATTATTCGGCACTTCATGGACTATTTACATAACACTCTATGTGGGTTAATTTTGAAATGCACAATATAAAAAATTAAATTTTTTTTAAGATAAAAAATATATTATGGCATTTTCTGAGGGTTTTTTTTTTTAGAAAAAAAAATTTGGAAGACTGTTGATCAGTTCGGTGCATTAATCCATTTGTGCAAATATTCAAATTTGTTGTTAGCCAGAAAAGCACTGAAGCATTGTCTTAACTTTTAAGCAATTATTTAAATTCTGCCCATAATGTAATGTTTTCCTCTAGTGTGGAAAGTATAAAAATATAAACTTCATGAAGCTGAGTACTGATTGCTTATTCCCATGAACACACTCAATGAATCTAACAGAGCTGGCATGTAACTAAAGCAAATCCATTTTGGAATAAGGATGTAAAATAACCATTTGTAATATAATATCAGTATATTCTACATTATCATTATCAAATATTTATATGGCACCAGAAGAGTTGTTTTAGTTGTCTTTAGACAAGCCTGTAAGCATGAGAAAATATATATAATACATAATTAAGATTATTTGGAGTCAATGTGGTATTTTAGGTTCATGTTGTTACATTACCATCCATAAAAACTACTTTTTGACAGTATTATTAAAATTCCAAGACCTCATTATCAAAACTTTAGACATGCCAAAAGTAACACACTTTTTCCAAAAAATCCTTATTAATATATTAATGATTTGCTCACATATATATTTTATGATTTGTACCTCACTCTGTGGTACCCCACACATATAATCGGGTGTTCACCCTGAATCCTCCTGAGTTATATTTACTGCGTGTTGTTTAACCTTGCTGCTTTATAGAATTTTCTATGCTGCTCATCCCAACAGTGCTTTGGTGTAAAGAAATTCTCACTAATGCTTGGGAGAAGGAAGTTTATATTGTCCATATTTTCAAACGCAATCAAATAATTGTGAAATCGGGTTCTCAATAATTTTGTGCATTCACCTTGGAACATCTGTTTTTCAAAGAATTTGAACAAAATCAAGCCCTTCATGTTCATAGCAGAGCTCCAATGACTTTAGGGTGGCAGCTATGAGATGCTCAATTGTGCTTCATATCCCATCACGACATGCTTTTGCTATGTAAATGTTATCCAATTATCAAACATTCTTTCATATCCCCTCCTAGAGGTCTCTGTCTGCAGGAAGAGGCAGGCACAAGTAGGCAAGGGTTCTGCTCAGGTCCCCTCTGTCCAGCACAGCAGGTGCCTCACACCTTCCAGAGCAGCTGCTTTTCCTCTTTCCTGTCTTTTTGACACTGATTCTGCTACCTTTTCTCATTAAGTATTACTGTTTTTTAAACTAGTGAGCATATGAGAGTCTTTGTGTATGTTTCCCTGCATTTATTTGCAAATCTTCTCTTTTCTGAAAAGCAAGGAGTGGACATATGCCATGTTCTACCTCAGTGGTCCAGACTTGGACTTGAATTCATGGCACCCATCTTGGCCATTTGAGATTCCAGAATAGTCAAAGTAGAAGATTACAGAGAAACAGGGTAGAACTCCTGTTGCCAGGACACTTCCTAGCCTCTGCCTGCCAGCAGAATAATAGAACTCAGACACACTGGAGTTCATTCCAAGCTCTGGGGTGGAAGTGGAGCATCAAGTGGAGAGAGTGGCCCTCTCCAAGACACTCATCTCCTTGCCCCTTTACTCTGCTTTTTTTCTCTCCTCCCCTCTCTTGGCTCTCCTCCTTTCCTCCCCCCTCCCCTTCCAGGTCATTGTTTAGAAAGCTGAGCAGTTCAGTTTGGAGCTTGGCACACACATTCACACACAGAGGTCACACACACCCACAGTGTGTATCATATCAGACTGTGTTATTTGGCAAAGTCATAGCTGAAAAGAGTGGACATGTCACCAGCAACTTTGGTAATAGGATTGCCAGCCCATCTCTAGTACACTTTTACATGCTTTCATGATGTCTTTATAAAACATGTAAAGCTACCACCCAGTAAATAAGCTAAATATGTGATTATATAAATATGTCGGTATGCATTAATTACCATTCATATATAAGTATATTTCGTGTATTTTCTCCTTTTTTATACTAGTTGAAATTAATGGGTGTGTTGTTCAGGTTGTTCATGTGTGTAGGAATTGATAGGTAAAGTAAAAACACATAACAAAGCATTATATCTTCTGCTATGCAGATTGCCATATTGCTTATAGTACTGACTAAGCCTTTGCATTGTAAACAAGTGTCTTTATATTTGCCCTTAGTTGCAACTTTTAGTACTATTCAGGTCCAGAAATGCAGTCTCTGGTATCTGGTAATTTGTACAGCATTACATAAAATGCTGTGAATTGCAATTTTACTTTTTTTCATAAAACAAGCACTTTTTCTAGCTTAACCAGCCTTTTTTTCTGGCTGACATTAGAGTTTTTGCTTCATCTTTCAAATATATATATTTAATACAGATATATATTGGTAAATTTTAAATACTTTAATATATTACATATGTTCATCTATGAATATTTATAAAACAATATATACATGTTATGTATTCAACATGCATATTTATGTGCATATAAGTGATACATATATGTGTGTTAATTATAACAGTACAACTGTATCTGTTTCATTAGTACAAAAAAGATTTATCATCCTTGTTTTATTCTTTTTGACTAGATGAATCTTTAATTTTCTCTGTGTAGTGACACAATTTCAAGTTTCATGAAGATATATATTAGAAACTATGGCTGAAGCTAAAACCTCTCAGCAAGGGGAATATTATTCAAATTCAAAATACTCAGGCATATTCAAAACTCTGATGCTGTATCTAAGGCAAGGTGGTGTCCTCATTTGACTTTGAAGTAAATGCATTGGACATTTTTCAGTTTTGTGGACAGTGCAAATCCTTTGGACATGTAAAATTGCTTCTTGAAAGATATGGCAGACTTAGCTTTTCCTAGTCCATCATCTTGCAATTGTGATTCAAAAGAAAACTAAAGGTCATATTTGTAAGGCTAGCATTGCCTTAATGCCATTAACACAGCAATTTGTAACCAGAGAGTTCTGGAGATCCAAAGTATCTGTTACACTGCCTATGCTGTAATAAAAATGATCAGCCTAAGGAATTCAAGTCTCTTAAAAATGCAGTGGACATAGATGAAAACATTTGACCCATTTGTAAAAAAACAATATGGAGACTACGATTAAAAAAAAAAAAAAGAAAAAAGAAAAAAGAAAAAAAAGAAAAAAGGAGAAAAATTCAAAAATAACCAAAAACTAAAATGGTAAAATTTGTATTAGTTTCCAACTTCATATACGTATGTGGTGAGAGCACTTGCTTAACATATGAAAAAGCAAAAAGATATATTAGGTCTCCCTGATAATTCATTTCCCAACTCCTAAATAAATGTGTGTGTGCAGGTGCGCTCTCTTCACAATTTGTTTTCTATAACTGCATAGCTTCATAGTGGCCAAGCTTCAGATGTAGGGGGGCACTATCCTGGTTCACTCCTTCCTGAAATAAGCAGCTGCTGGGGTTTAGGACATTTCTTTTGGGAATAAAATTCCTAATATCTCTTGACAAGAATTAGTGGCTAAAGTGTCTTGTCTTCTGGTCAGTGCTTTAACAAGTTGGCTCTTGCATGCAAGGAGAGCAGCATCCCTCCTGCTGCTGGCAAAGAGGCACCTGCTTCTGAGAACAGCTTCTCCTGCATTGTATCC